TCTTTCTTTCTTTCTTTCTTTCTTTCTTTCTTTCTTTCTTTCTTTCTTTTATTATTCTTTTTTAATTTTTTTTTTGTAATTATTACCATCTGGCAGACAGTGCACAATGACAAAGACAAGGACAAACAGACTGAGATATAGCTTTTATCCTAGAGCTGTAACTATACTGAACTCCATAATTTTGCATTGATGTAGCACTGGGGGCCATGTGGTGGTGGTTGGAGCGTGGAAGGATGTGTTGTTTTTGTGATTTTTGTTTTTGTTTTTTGTGATGTGTGCTGAGAAAAGCTTCTAATTTCATTGTACAATGACAATAACATTGTTCTATTCTATTCTATTGTGTCTTGGGACAACTGACATAAAATTCTCTGGCATATTTGTTGTTGAATGGCAGTTCTCTTCATCATTAATGTTTTCTTGACTTTAGTCTTCCTATGATTGACAGCTCTGTTTTACTCCTTTTAGGCTTCATTTATCTGAACTGCTGACTTGCTGTAATGACTTCTAGGTCAGCTGATGACTGCCCTCTTGCTCCTCCCTTTATCTCGCTGGATACCCTTTGACTGACCTAGACCAGATTTATTTCCTGAGAGGTCCTGCCCTTCAAACTCCTGCCCTTAGTCACTGCATGACCATGCCAAGGATTGATGATTGTTGTGATAATAGATCCCACACTCTGGGTGAATTAGCATAGATATTCCTAATTACAGCTATTTGCAATATATTCCTCCTTAATAATGCTGGAGTTAGGTTTCCCATGTGGAAAATAGAATAGCGTGTTTCGACTTTAATGGTTGTGTGTGTGTGACCCCATGGATTTATGGTGACCTCATGAATTTCATATGCAAGGAATAAGAGGTGATTTTGCCAAACCCTTCCTCTGACATATAGCTAAAATATCTGACATTCATTAGTAGTCTTCTCGTCTAAATATTAAACGGAGTTTCCAAGATCAGACAGTATATGATGCCTGTAGGGCATTTATGCCTTAATGGTTGTGTCAATGAGAGAATTTCAGTGAGTCTGTTTTTCATTTGGCAACCTTAGGCTCACTGCACAGTGGTATTCCAACTAAACATTTCCCCATAAGGACATGTATTATGGCTGAATACTCTTCCTCATCCTTTAAAATAACAGTTCCAAGATTTCAGTAAAGTGTGGCATCCATAACCTTTCTGTTGTGGACAAAATGCTTTCAGGCTCTCACATTTCCTTTGATGCTGATTACCTTCATAAGTATAATTTATTAAGTTGCCTCAATTAAATAGGAATCTAATCTTCAAATTAGGCACAAAATACTTCTGCCCTGCCTGAAGGCATTCAATACCATCAACTATGGTATCCTTCTGAGCCATCACTGTGGGATGGGGCTTGGAGGCACTGTTTTGCAGTGGCTCCGGTTCTTCCTGGAAGGTCAGACCCACATGTTGGTGCTCGGGGGACACCTATTTGACTCCCTGGCCAGTGACCTGTGGGGTTCCTCGGGGTTCAATTCTGTCCCCCATGCTGTTCAAGATTTACACAAAACTGCTGGGAGAGATTATCTGTAGTTTTGGAGTTTGGTGTCAAATTTATATCAGTGACACACAACTCTATTACTCCACCTAAAGCCAAGGATGTCATCGTGGTTCTAAACCGGTGCCTGTCATAAGTAATGGGCTGGATGAGGACTAACAAGTTGAATGTTTAATTTCAACTTGTTAGCCCTCAGACAAGACAGAGGCACTCCTGGTCAGTAAGAAGGCAGATCAGGGTATAGGGTTACAACCAATGTTGGATGCGGTCATACACTCCCGGAAGACGCAGATTCACAGCTTGAGGGTGATCCTGGACTCATCGCTGACCCTGGAGGCCCAGGTGTTGGTGGCCAGAAGTGCCTTTGTAAAATTAAAACTTGCTTGCCAGTAGCTTGAGATGCCACATCTGTCCACAGTTCTCTATACATTACTTACATCCCATCTGGATTACTACAACACTCTCTACACAGGGCTGCCTTTGAAGATAGTTCAGAAGCTTCAACTGGTTCAATTGGCGGCCAGATTACTAACTGGAGATCCATGTAGAGATCCACCTCCAAGTTGCAGCAGCTCCACTGATGGCCGGTCTGCTTCTGAGCTAAAGACAAAGTTCTGGTTATTACCTATAAAGCTCTAAATGATAAGGGCCCAGACTATTGACTAACCACATCTCTGTATATAAACCAGCCTGGGCACTGCGGTCTGCAGAGGAGGGCCTGCTCTTGGTCCCACCCCATCTCAAGCATGGTTGGTGGGAACGAGAGAGGGGGTCCTCTCTGTGAGTGCCTCTGCCTCTGGAACTCCCTCCCTAAAGAAGTAAAAATGGCCCCATCCCTTCTCTCATTTAAAAATCTGATTAAAACCTTTGTTCTTTAGCTTATGGAGAGGAGGATGAGGATGAGATTATTACGTTTTATAACTTGGACTAGAACATGACACCTTCCTCTGGCTTGTTGGCGGTGGATAAATTATATAACAATTGTTACTTTAACTGTTTCTAATTGTTTCTATATTGATTTGTTTTGCTCCTTTGAAGGTTTAATAGATTTATATGTTTAATTATTAAAACTTTGTGTGTAGTTGTTATTAGACTTAAGCCTGAATCAGTTCGAATGAAAAAGATTTGTAGTATTTGGTGGGCCATTTTGTATAATATCCAAAAACAGATCAGGGAGGAGGGAGTCGGAAAGCCTGGCAAAATGGACTGAGAGAGCCATATTTTATTGGTTCCTGGATAGGAAGGGGTGAAATCTGCAATATACCTGAGGCAGGGATCTGCTGTGTCTTTTTCTCCAGTGTCCCTCCATTTTTTTGGAAAGTTTTCCTAGGTTCCTCCTTCAGTGAGGGTCCCACTGGGAACTCACTTTCCCAGCATAACTTGTATAGGGTGGGCATAGAAAAGTTCCTCTCAGAGCAGGAAGTTTTTATCTCTCTCTGTCCATGTCCTAATTGGCTGAGAATTAACACAACCAGTGACTACAATTCCCAGAACCCTCTCTTGCGGTTTGTCTTTTTAAAAAAAAAATGTTAAAAATTTAAAATAATTCTTAAAAATCAGTTGATTGGTGAATTGTTTTGAAACTTGGAAGGCCTGCAGTGGTATATTGGGGTCTAAAACTGAGGTAGGTTTCATGCAGAGAGGTCTTAAAATGACTGAGGATTTAGCCTTTGAAGTTTCCCATTGTAGCCAATGGGCTGAATCTTTGTTGAATGAAAATGGCAACACCCCTCTCCTTTTGAGTAACTTCCTGGTGAACAGAATGATGGGCCAGCTAGCAATGGAACCTGAAACGGGATGCCTTTTGACAACTAGCCTAGTTGTTATAATTTATTATAGATGTTTTATCCATGGGGCTCTATTTGTTCATTTTGCATTGTTTTATGGCATTGAATGTTTGCCATACTTTTTTTGGAAACTGAGTGAGTACCGCCCTGAGTACCGTTGGGGAGATAGGGCAGATTATAAATAAAGATGATGATGATGAAGATGATGATTGTAATATCATGTGCTTTCTCACCTAGTGAGTGAGGTAATCAAAATGAATAGTCCTCTATTTTTTTTTTTGTTCTCATCCAGGGTTGCCGCATCTATAATAAAACAATCCTTTTTCTTAACTATAATGTCTACCATATTATGCTCTAATTCGTTTCTAATGTAAATTAAAAGTGCTATGCAGAAGCTCAGTAGCTAGGAGTGCATTCGCTCACATTAAAATTCACATTACCAAAACCATGTACTGGGTCATGTTAACTGTTGTGCTGGTATGTTGGCCTGTGCATAATGATATATGTTTTGACCTAATTTAAATTTTTGATTGTTTAATATCATTCAGTATAATAAGAGTGCTGTGATTCACATTTTTTGGAATGGTACAAGTGGAATACAGTATGGTTTTGTCTGCAGATGACTTGTTATAACTTCAGTAGACATTAAACTAATGCCCAAATAAATAAATAAACAACCATGCCTTTGAACACTTTCTGGTGATTCTATTAACTAGAAGAAATTCAATATAATACCAGTAGGCATTACTGAGTCATCTAGTTTATTTATGGTCTGAAAATTTCAAGATAATTATTGTCTATCTTGCTACATTGGTCCCTGTGGATATTCTTCAAGTGACTAAGCTGATAAATCTAAATGTTGGCAGAAATGCCCTTTGATTTGGAAAAATGGTCTGCACTAAAGCAATGGAGTAATTTATGTTTTGACACAGATTCTTTATTCTCTGCTATGTTTTCTAATATTGTTCTCAAAGCATACTAACACATTTTATTTAGAAAGTTCAAACAGAGGGTTTACCTTCTTTTGCACTTGAGAAGATACAGCTGTCACTTCTTGAAGGCAGATTTGATTTTCTTCATCTTTGTTTGTATCATAACATATTTCTTTTGTCTTGTTCAAGCAAATGAGGAGATTCCCTTGAGTCATATACATCATAGATAGTAATTTCAGAGTCTGTTTACTTGGCATGGTTGTATTGATGGATGGCATTAGAGTCTGTCTATATAAAAGTATTTATCTTCCCTCCATTTTAGCAGTGATGGTGTCAGGGCATATAGTCTATAATCAGCTGTTTTTTTACTTGCACACTTTTGGTAAATTAAGCTCATAAGACAATCCAGGACTTGAAAACAGAGAGACAACCCCTTTTTGTGGATAAAGCAGATTGAATGTGGGATCATTTAACTGGGCTGCATTCTCTGTACTGCAGCTGAAATCTTATTTGCTTATCAGGGTTGAATGACTGTCCTTGCAATTACAGCATTTCCATTACTTTTAGAAGAATTTGTTGGCTCTTTCATGAAATTCAAGTTTATACTCTAGTTAGGAACAGGCTTATATGGACTTGAAAGACATATACAACCACAACAATACATAAGTGGTAGTAGTAGTCAATCATCATGATCAACCTGATAGCTCTTGAAGCAAGGGCTTAGATACCAACTTAGAAAAAAGGTGGTTACAATAAATAAAGAAAATTTAACCAAAATGTTTTATTGATACATTCTTGGACAATATCACAGGATTGATTATGGAAAGAGGGGAGTTCTGCGGCAAAGATTGTTCTCACTAAATTGGCACATAAGCAGCAAGATTAACGAAATTACTTATTACAAACAGTATAAAACATACATGCTTTTTTCCTTAAAATTCGTTTTGTTTTTTTAAATCACACCGGTCAGTCAATAGTGGGCCATCAACAAAGAAAAAAAATTCTCAAGACATGTAAAAGCCATTTCTTTCTTCCAAATACCATAAGAGTTATTGAAATTATTGCAAAATAGTTATATACCTTAATGAAAAGAACAAAATAGAAACACAAACACAAATATCCAACATAAATTATTAACATGTACTGTAAAATACATTACTGGCATGCATTCCAAATATCAAGACGACCTCTATCAAAATTCAGCAATCTGTTCTGCTTTCTCTGTTGCCATCAGAATGATGAAAGGCAGAAAATGGAGGTGGAGGTGGATACAGGGTGGGAAACAGAGTGAGGGGCTTGCTGTGTCAGCACAGTTTTTGGTCTTCAGTATCTTTTTCTCCCTTTTCTTTTAATTAAAAAAATAACATATATGAATCAAAGTGGTACAATAATGATCATAACAAGTCATGTACATTTTTTTTTATTTCCGGGATTTTTCTTTGTTTGTTAATGTGAGAAAGTTAGAAAGACCAGGGCTTGCATGATGCGGTGCATTTGAACTGAATGGGGAAACTTCAGAAACATAGATGGCAATATGCAAAAACCTCTCACAAACTGTACAGAAAGTTCAAAAACTTGCAGTTTGGAAGTACATATAAAGACAAAATAGCCCCTTGAAAGTCACCATCACCAACTGCAGTTCACCCAGGAGAAGTTGGGTCTAAACTCACAGGTCGGAGCTTTTAGATCATACCTCCCATACAAAGAAAAAAGGTCCATCATCACAGCCTCATGGCAGTGCCAGTGACTTATTAAGCCAAGAATAAGTTAAGGAAATTTTCATAGAGCAGCTGTTCAGAATACTTCAATCCTCCAAAAATACTGCCCGGCCATTCAGCGCTTCCAACAGTGCATACGCTGCAGTTCTTTTGGGAACAGGCCGACACGAGGTTAGGTGACTGAATGGATGAAAATCTCCATCCCCCCATGACTCCGTCTGATGCAGAGGACTAGATAACCAGGTTGTTATAACTGACATACTTCTTTTTTGCAGCAGGGCCTGAAAGAAAGAAAGAAGGGAGGGAAGAAAGAAAGAAAGAGGCAAGGAAAAAGCAGTCACCAATACACAAATCTGTTCAAAAGCCTGCTATGGCTTCTTAGTAGTAAATATCAATGTTTGTGAAATTATGCTTCATGATCAAAGGCAAGAGTGCAGGGTTTTGTTTGTTTTATGTTTTCAGTTTCTCCCCCTAGGCTGTCTTGCTTTGCCTTGTACATGCCCACAAAATACCTAGATATGATGTTTTTTTTTACTACCCCACATTTTCATGCCTCTCAATCAATGTTAGTCATTTCTAGGGCATGAATAATGTAATTTACTGTAAGCTACATTATTTATATATTTTCTCCAGCTCCTAAACCCAATAGTCTGAATTAGAGCAAAGTAGATAAGTTAATAAGAACTCAGTATTTCAAATGCAATATTCCTGCTTCTTGGCAGGGGGTTGGACTGGATGGCCCATGAGGTCTCTTCCAACTCTTTGATTCTATGATTCTGTGATTCTCTTCAAGTGATGACAAGCCATTACAATTAGGTTTTGGATTTCTTTTTTAAAAAATACTTATTTTTTGGATACATATCAAATCTATATCACCCCCATCCCTATGCAGACACAGGTACATAGTGCACATAGGCACACGTGATAGCATGCATATACTACAACCAGGTTCCTCAAAAACTTTACCTCTTGACTGAAACCCAAATATCAGTGATGTACTTATTCATAACAAATAATTTCTATCTTCTATTATTTTTAAGAATCAAAAACAATAAGAAGTTAGGAGGCCAAATACATGAAAAAAATCTATGAAAAACACATTTTTCTTCCGAGTACTATATGAAGATAATTTTTGAATATTAGTATTTTGGATCTCTCCAACAATGCTGAATCTGATAGAAAAGAAAGAAACAAGCAAAAAGTATATGGAAAAGAAACCAGAGAAAGGTAGGAACAATGTCCTCATTTTACCCTCCCCTAGCAACACCTATGCCATGTATGTTCACATTAAGTGGGCAGTCTTTTGGTCACCATGGATTGCATGTGAAAGTGGATTGCAGTGTGATCTAGATCTGACAGGGGATGAGACCTAGGCTTCTGCAATCTTTCTGGCTGCTGGTCTGTTTCCAGGTACAATTCAAAAAGTGAATGCAATGACCTATAAAGCCCTGTATGGCTTGGCTCCAAGCTACTTGAAAGATTGGGTCTTCCTTTACGAACTCATCAAAACCTTTCACTCTGCATGTACAATTTTTAAAAGAACAAAACAGCTGATCAGCTGATCGGACTGTCAAACAGACACAAAGATGGTTCAAGGAAAGCACAAATGGAAAACAATTGGAACTCTCTGAAATTTTTTATTTTACATTTTATAATCTTAAACAGAGGTTGAATTAAGAATTTGGGGAAGAGACATATCTGACTGAAGTTTTAAAAAAAGTTACGTGTGGGACCTCATAGGCACACATGCAAATCTGCTAGTGTTTATATTAAGATATTTGCATGTGCCCATATACAGTCCAGCACATAACAGAGGGATTTTAAAAAAACTTCTGCTGGATGTCCCCCATCTTCCCTCCATCTCAATCTGCTTCAAAAAAAAAAAAAAAAAGATGTGAGGATGGTGGGGAACCATATCCCGGGACTGAAAGGTCTGTGTGTAAGCCTGCTGTCAGGTCCCAGGATTTTTTTAATGATTATAAAATGAAGATTTTTGATGCTGCCAGGAAGTGCTTTGGGACAAACTATTTCAACATCGATCAGCTCTTACAATCCCAGAGTCTCCATGATGTTTAGGCAGATTTTTTTTCTTTTAATGTAAGTGGTTCTGTTCTGTTCTGTTCTGATGGATTTCATCAATTTTTAAGTGCTGCTTCCAGCATGCATTCCTACATACAGTGTCCAACTTATATAGATTTGCCTTTGTATTTATGTTAATAACTATTGCAATATTATATGATGTACTTACAATCTATTAATGTCTTCCATATTCCTCCATTTAGTTTAATTTTATAATGACCACACATAAAATACCTTCTACATATATAATAAGTTACTGCTTTAAGGTTGTATGACTTTCTTGGTCAAAAGGATTCATTTGCTGTCTTCTAATTATGGCTACTGGCTTCTATCCAAGTTTTCACTCTTCCTTCCTACCACAATAAAAATGCAGAGCAATGAAAAAGGATCAAAGTTTGTAGTCTAGCAGACAGTACAATGCCAGTCAGTGACAAAACCATCAAATTTTTATCCTTTGGAAGTGCCTTGTGTCATAACTTTTAGGCAAAGAACAGCATATATTTTGCTGACTAGGAATAGCAATTTGGGCTTACATTCCAATTATTGTGTCAAATTTTAAATCTAAAGCACCTATAAACGAAAGCCAATGTGATGCTGTCTATCGTAAACATGTGCATCATACAACACAATGCTATGAAAACTTTCTCATATCTAAATCTGGAGATTTTCCTCTACTAAATATATTAGAAATGACAGTTTCAGTTCTTATATTCATTTGTCTGGAAATGCATTCCATTGAACTCAGTGGTTGTGACTCCTGAGTCACTATTCATGGTTCACTATTAAGATCCCCTGAATGTGGAGCCATGAAAGTGGGAGCTATAAAGGAAGTGCCATTCATTCTCTGAAGAGGGAAGTTTCCTAAATTATTCTGACATTTGTGCTGTGTCAGAAGCCATGGTTTCAGCTACTTTCACCTGTACCCCATGCATTTTGCTCCCAATTAAGCAGCACAGACTTTGACTAGTCACTTCTGAATTGGGATGGGGTTTGGACTTACATCCCAACCACAATGGATTTTTTTTGTAATTTTTGCCCATCCTATAATTTATCATGATGGGGATTATGGAACAATTGGCTGAAGTGGCACTATTTATTCATCACACGGATATAAAGTATCCTTAAATTATTGTTATTTGTTTAATTTGTGGGTCACCTTAAAGGTATCTTAAGTGCTAATCCTAGACAAAAGGTAGTATATGCATTCAGATGGTGGTGTTGTTGGTGAAGATGGTGAAGATAGGCTGGTCAGGAAACTGTTCAGGGGCAAGTTAGGATGAATAGTTTGACCTTGAAGCTATGAGAGTATTGCAGTGACATGGTGCAGGGAATAGTTCCTAGAGACTGATGTAAATAGATAATGAAGTGTGGCCATAGTTATTTCACTTCAGTGTGTCTGTGTCTTTCTTCTGAATGGGATCAGCCAATTTAGACATCCACATATTACACTTGATCTTCCACATGTTTCAAACTTCAGCTCCCAGAATTCCTGATTGTTGGCAAATTTGGCTGGGACTTCTGGGAGTTGAAGTCCAAAAACAGCTAGAAAGCCAAAGTTTGGGGACCACTGCTCTAGAGCTATAAAGCAATAAAACTAAGTCATATCAAAGATGGTCTATTGTTCTCAACTGGGGCAGAAACCTTTTTGCCTTGAATGCAAAGACCTAAAATAGTTTGGGGAAAAGCTTTCAAACATCTCTGCCTGATGGGAGGCATTGATGTTCCAATTTTTTTTTGCTCATGATGAGTAGTTTAAACTGCTCACCTGAAACTATTTGGAGATCTCACTTTGTACAGGATGCACATACAGTAGGTCTGCTTGGGATAGTGATGTTGCAGAGGGAGTAAGCTTTTCACATGGTTCTTTTGCATGCGGTCCCTATGAATATCTGAACAGGACTAGTGTGTGCAGGACACACATGACCTTATTAAAATAATGAAACACTAAATGATAAGGGAAGAAACATCTTCTGAAATCATGTTAATTATATGAATGCATTTTACTTATGAAAGCCATGTAAATAAATTACTATGAGTGTTATCCTGTCTTCCAAAACCCAATCCTTGTGGGATTTCAGCAGGCTTCTCATAGTATTCTTTGTTAAAAAGCAGAGGCTAATCCATGTAAATGTGTAGAAATTGGTCTCTGAACACACTTTTTTAGCTGGAGGAAAAGCTGTCTACATAAAAAAGGAATTACCCTCATAAATAGGTGCCTCCCCTTTCAATAGTCAGGGCTATTTTTCAAATGGAGCTGGAATTCTGTCATAGCTGTTTAGAAGCAGGAAGAAAGTACTAGATCAGTGGTTCTCAACCTGTGGGTCCCCAGGTGTTTTGGCCTACAACTCCCAGAAATCGCAGCCAGTTTACCAACTGTTGGGATTTCTGGGAGTTGAAGGTCAAAACATCTGGGGACCCACTGGTTGAGAACCACTGGACTAGATTTTGTTAAATCAAAACAGCTTAATGGGAAGGATTTTCACTTCATTCAAAGGGTTATGAATATGTAAATCTAACAGAAGATGCAAGCCAGAAATGGAAAAATATTTTTGTAAGCACATTAGCTTTCCTTGTTCGTTTAGAGGAAAAGAAGGAAAACTTGCATATTTGTTAAAGCACACAAATCAAAGTCCATCATAAAATACACACTACAGTTAAGACTGGAACATACTGCAACTAAAAAATACAAGAGCATCGAATACAAATAGTTATTTTAAGTATGCCCAAGAATTTATACTTCTCACTATCATTGTTATTATTGTTGACCTCATTTCTTTGAAGAACAGATCTAAATGCCATATCACCAATGACTTATGTAACTTCTTCAATTTTCAAAATCAGTTAATGAACTTTATTGAACTAACCAAAGACTATTTGGTTGTGTAGAAGAAACCAAAAACGTTTCTGGATACTTGAATATATATATATATATATATATATATATATATATATATATATTTAAAGGCAAATGACAGTGTTTTATTTTACACATCCAGATTTCTTATTGCATAATTTGCAAAACGAAGTAGCAAGCTAGATTACTGTTATCCAAGGCAAGGTGAAAAACAACTTCTGATCATTTATGAAATATAAACAATTTAACTGTAGTCATAATATTATTTGTGCCAATTTGAGCATTTGGATATGACTGCATCAATGCTATATATAAAAAAGTGGAACTGCTGCTTAAAACCCCCAATGA